ACGTCATCAGCACGTTCACGCACGCTGTGCAGACAGAGCGAGGATGGCAGGCAAACATCAACAACCCGATCTTCCTTCCTGGTATTGTAGTACTTTTAAAGTTTTCTCACTGGTGAATGACACATGATGTAGCCCAGCGGTTCCCAATTCCTGTCCTCGCGCATGTATTTTGCATGTCTCGCTTAGTTAACACACCCGATTCAGATAACCAGCTCGTTAGAAGTGAGCTACGTGCATGAACTGTGTTCCGATCGATATGATCCCTACACAGTGTTCATTGCTCCCTACTCCCTGAGCAGGGGAAATCTGTTGAAGTTTATTTAACTTCGGAACATGGGCTGGAATTGGGAACCACTGATGTAGCCTATTGTAGTAATGTTGTCTCTGGTATACTGGTCTGTGAGTGAGCGTATATGCATTCAGGGGGCGTGGCTTTGGACAGCGATTGCAGGGAGGTGGGACGTTCGCTTTCAGTGCTATCAGGCTAAAGTTAACATTTTCTAAGATCTCCTACTGCACCTTTAATGTTGTGCAATAATAAGAGAAGCACCCATGGTGATGGTGGTTGTCATCCCAACACTTTGCTGTAAGTCTGATAATATTTTTTTTTTAAATGAGAATTTCTGTGACAACAAGTCATATGGATACCCGAATTCACTTGTACAGATGAAGTACATCCCTTTGCCCCCTTTGGAGGGACATCTTACAGTTTCTTAAGTGCTGGAATGTCTCTTACATGAACTAGGAGAAATTTTGTGAAATTCACACTCAGACTCGAGAGCTGCTTGTAGACACCTTGTTGCCATCCTGGGGTTCTTCAAGACTTCCTGAAGAATGTTGTGCTCCGCTCTTAAATGAATTTGGTGGATCAGCCTGACTGGATTTTATGAAATGGTGGATTTTAAATCCCAGACTTCTAAGCAGCTCTTTTGATCTTGGCATGTTGGCACCATGTACTTCACTGCTGCAAAGACAATTTATTGACAATTTATTTATGTTTATAAAGTATAAGGTGTGGATTTAATGATGTTCTGCCAATTTGCAGTTGATTCTAGTAATTGGTGCACCTCCTTAGGCACATTATATAGTGACGCGGTAATTTCCTTTTACCACACAAGAAATGGGCATAACAAGAGTAATTTGATCATTTATATTGGCAGTAAATCTATTAATGTTGGTGAAATGCTAATCCAATATGATATAAACCTTATAGTTACTAAGATATACACGGTAAATTGTTTGACGTAAATAAAACAAAGATTAATGAAATAGTTTACATGAAAATACTATTGAATCTTTCTACTTCAAAATTCACATTTAATTCAATGTGTTCACTTTCAGTTTCATTGTAATTATTTGTGAAATTTACAAGCAATTTCTGAGCAAAAGTTGTTTTACCACCACCGTTTTATCCCCCCCAGTGTAGCTCGTGACAAACTAATGCATTTTACCCTATATATTAATTTCAATAATATGGTGTGCTGAAAATAAAATTTCCATAATTCAGTACACCATTGTGCATCAGAATGCAATGTTTCACCAACACTTGTTTCATTTACCAACACTCAGATTTGGTCCCCCCACTTGCAAGACCATTTGAGTCGTGTACAATTCATTAATTTCATAAACAATGTTGTACACTACCATTGCCTATATTATTCTTTAAAATATATACTTTTACATTTTATGGTTTATTTTTACATACATTTCCAATTAAAATTACTAACATGAACAGGTAACGAATTCTCATAAGGATACACAGAATGGATTATTTAAACATGGGGAGGCACTGTTTCTCTTTCTGAAAGAATGGTCTGCAGTTCAATGTTTCTTTTGAAGACTAAAAGGGCATTCAATGCAAGGAAATGCATGAACTCTTGGCAAGCCTTTTAATAATGAAGAATCAAAGCTTTGTGCTCAGACCTTTTCGTTTCATAAGCTACTTTGGGCACAAGAGAATGGAATCACATGCATAATTACTATCGTTACTGTCCTTCATCAGATCTAATAGATTGAAGAGGTTTTAATGGGCTAGTTGGACTGAAGCACTGATCAAACGAAATAACTGAACAATATGAAAGCAAACAAGTAAATACAGCATTCACAGTTACTGCCTTGTGTCCAGCCATCAGCCAGAGTCAACACATATAGGTTCTATTTCAATTATTCAGGAGCAGTTAATAACCAATAGCTGTGTAAAAGGTCAGATGAGGTCCCCTATGATAAAATGTACCCTGAAACATCCCATTACTTTCTTCCTAAATTGGATTTTTAAGTAACTCACAATCCCCAGGCACAGATTAAATGAAAACTCACTCTTTTATATTCAAACTATATATTTATACTTAAATCATAGCCTACTCAGTGCTCAAATAACGGATTTCATTTGATATTTGATAAAAGTTCACTTTAGTGAAACAGCCTCAACACAGTCCAAATGCTAAGCAACATGACCTTTAAAGGAATGAGTCCAAAATGAGATTAAACGCTGTAGTTTGCTATAGTGCATCACAGACACTTACAGTTCTAGTCTGACTCATAAAATGAGATTATTTTGGACTAATAATTGTATTTATTTATTTTTTAGTTTTCTAGCCTCAAGACTAAAGACATTATTCAACATCTTCAATTGCATTTTTTTGTCTGTGTGTGTATGTGTGTTGGGTTAAAAAGTTACCCACATAATTTCCTTTACAAAAAAAACTATTTAATAAAGAAGTACAAAACATAAAGGTGTAACAGAAGTGCAATATGAACAATATTTAATATGACAATGATACGTTCCCCAAAATTAATCAATGTTTTAAAAAAATCCTATATGTAAACCAGAAAATATCTAGGTAACGCTTTACAATAAGGTTCCATTTGTTAACATTAACAATGAAAAATACTTTAAGCATTTATTAATCTTAATGTTAATTTCAACATTTATTAAAATCTAAATCTATATTATTTAATGGACCTGAGCTAAGATGAACAAACAATGAACAGTTGTATTTTTATTAACTAACATTAACTAAGATTAATAAATAGTGAAACAAATGTATTGCTCGTTGTTGGTTAATGCATTTACTAATGTTAACTAAAAGGATCTGATGGTAAAGTATTACCCATGTCTACATACAGGACAGTCCTGAAACATCAGCTAAGCAAAGAATTACAAGCCTAAACAAACACTTAATGAAATGAACATTATTACAAATTAATTACATGTCTCAGTGCAACAAAATATGTTGCATTTGCTGTTTGATGTTGATCAGTTGTTAGTAATGCAGCGCAAGCCTCTTATCTGAATCATTAGAGCAAAATAACATGAACAAATGATGAACACTGCAGCTACATCACATGGTCCTTGGATGAACGAGTGATGAAAGTAAAGTAAGTGTCATGCAGAAAAAAATGTAATGAAAATGTGCTACCGGCTTTCATTTTTCAGAGAATCAAAAAATGTTTTCACATAAAACCAAATGATACCTGAACTGTGATAAAGCAAAACGTATAATTTAGTTTTGGTTTAGTTAGAGAGAATATGCAGCACAGTTTATACAACATAGGCTACAACTCAAGGTGCAGTGACATTTGTAGATATTTGTCTAATTTTCGTGGGAGATATATGGAAGCCCGTTTCCGCCACTGAATAAAAAATAAAAAAAGGTTATTGCGACTTTTTATCTCACAATTCTGACTTTTTTTCCCCACATAATTGTGAGATAAAAACTCGCAATTCTGACTTTTTTTCTCGAAACTGCGAGTTTATATCTCGCAATTCTGACTTTATAACTCGCAATTGCGAGTTTATATCACGCAATTCTGAGAAAAAAAGTCAGAATTGTGAGATAAAAAGTCACAATTACCTTTTTTATTTTTTATTCAGTGGCGGAAATGGGCTTCCATAGAGATATGCAATAATTTAAATGGGAATCTGCACAATCTGGAGTTTTGCATGAAGGCGAAACTGTTCCCTAAATGGATTTCACTCGTTTTCAAGTTGGTACACTGAAGTTGCCGTGATGACCAACAGAAATATAACCAAGAGAAAGCTTGGTTTGAAAGTGATTTTTATGTTAGCTGTGCTTCATATCTATAGTATAGACATAAAAAACTGACCTTTTTTGTCTGTGAAATTTCAGTGACATATTGCTAATTGCTCTGTATGAATTGAGCTTCATACATCATTACACTATTAACAATAAACCTTTTTTGTCCACGAAACTTTGCAGAAATGTCGCAGATGTGACCGCATCTTAAGACTGAATGCACAGTTAGTGGTCATCATGTATTATAAAAAGGCAAAAACAACCATACTAAACATTTACTTAGTGTAATATTTCATGTACCTGACAAACATCTTGAGGTTTTTTTTTTTAACTGATGTCTCTAACGGTTTTATCTCACATTATACACTAGAGGAATACAATGACTGCATTATAAAGCAATCCTTTATATTTTATGAAGCAGACATTAAGCTATTCTATGCTGTATACATTTTGAAAAGTGGTACACTGAACTATTATTGTGTATGTTTATTAATTCAAAGGGTAATACAGACATAAAAATAAGGTACTATAAATAGTGTGTATAGAATTCAAGTACCAGCCAACACTAGACTGATTAGCGCTCATTACCTTTAGCACCGGTTTATGTTGCAGCACCAGGTACTTCATTACTGGTTTTACATCTGATCTGCCATCAGCTTCAATAAATAGAAACATCCGCAACCTTGCAACTATGTGGAATTGCGCTCTAGCTTTGTGGTTATCTGTGGTTCAAATACTCGAACTGTTGAACTGCAATCCTAAATTCCTGACAGAGTTAAAAAGATATGATTCAAATAGCCAAATTATGAATATATTTGTTCTGTCAATTGCTAATCAGAAAAGAACGTTTAATTACTATAGTAGTCAATGCAGTGATGACGTATTTTTGTAGGTCAACCTGGAAATTAGCATCACCCTTGACAAAAAAGCAGTTGTATTTTTCCATCTGCTTTTATATTATTGAAGGAAATAAGCTCTGTGACCAATAAATGTTTGATTCTTACATGTTTTGTTCTCTCTTTGTCAGAAGTAAAAGTTATGTAGGCAATAAAAAAACTACTTCGCAGTCGCATGACTTCAGAATCACCACTGAGCTTCTGACAACTCCTTAAAAAAATCCCTGAAAGTAGAACAGTTTGGAAGAGCGCAATTATAAACATGACAAGGTTTTGAAAGCGGGTTAGTGAGTAGATAAGTTTTTTTTGTTGTTGTTCGGTGTGATGACATGTAATGCAGTCCCATTTAGCCTCTTCTTAGCAACCAACCTTTTCAAGACAAGTAGAAGTAAAATCACAAGTGGGTTTTACTGATGTATTTATGCCATTAAATAAAAGATGAAAATATCATGTGCTTGTGTGAACCACAGACCTTATTTCAGGAATTTACCAAAAAAACATTCAATAAACCCATTGACTTCAGGACGATAGAACCAGAAGAGCTTAAATGCTAACTCTACATGCTAAAAATACACCATCCCTGCATCAGTCTATAGTGAGATGGCAAGATGGTCCACTTAACTGTTTTACTACCACTTATCTGAGATGATGGACGGAAATAAGCACCTCTTACTGTATGTGTTAAAGGATGTAGGGACAAAGTAGCTCCCTGATAAACTGTTGGTCAATGGCAACAGCTTGACCAGACCAGACCAGTCTGTCCAACAATGGATAGCTGCTTTGAGTATTTGTGTAATCTTTTGTTCCATGGCTTACAACATTCATTCTGCAATTCCCCTGCATCTCAGCGACTTGCAATGCGATCATTGCCCCGTGATGGCAGCCCGCAGGTCTTGCAGCACTTTGCATGGACTGAAGGCACTTGACATCGCCCGAGCCACTGGAGGGTCTGACAGAAGCGTAATGTCAAATGGTCCCGTAAACACAACTGACCTGAAAGACACAGACAGAGAACAAACATGAGAGACTGCCGTTAGGACAGCTCTAGAGGGGTGAGACTGCTTCACCACCTGCGCGAGATACATGCACTAGTGCATTCACACATTTGCCCTCAAGCCAGGCAACACATTACAGCAACACAGACACCTCTGCGATAACAAATCACACTCATCACCGATCCTGTGAATGCCTGAAATAAAATCAAGTTGACTACATATATAGCATAAAACATGAAAAGTATAATGGCTGCACAACAAAACATAATTAAGGGTCATTTTCAATAAGGATGCTTTTCTCACGTCCGGGGTTCTCAGAAGTGGAAGTCATCATTAGTTAACAACATCAATGGTTAACAGAAACTACAACAAATTAAATTTTTGCTTTCCCATTTGACCCAATAGCAAAAGGGGGTGAAAAAAATCCACTATAGCATTTTTATGACTTTCCAAAAGATGAAGATGTCAAATTTGCCATCACTCCCTCAGCTGTTATACTAGAAACACTCATGCAACAACAATAACCAATTTTTTTTATTTGTAATTTAATGCCATGGTAATAAAACAAAGTATAGTGTTATAAATGTATATTACATTTATTTAAATTGTAAATTTGAAAACATTGATACATATATTTAAACATGTCATCACGGTCTGAAAAGTGAAAAGGGTTCATTATTAATACAAAAATGTCAGTTGATCTAAAATACACAAGCCAAAATGTCATTAGGAGAAAATCATTTGTCCTTTGTTTACTCAACAGGTAAAAAAAGGAATAATATTAAGAAATATTGTCAAGCAGAGCAATTTAGAACACTGGTCATTAAGTGTAGTCATATTAATTTCAGACATCACAGACTGTCAGATTTAAATATAATTATTTTTATCTTGGTTATCTATAATGAACTGCCAGTGCCACATCATGAAAGTTTGGTCAGAATTTGAAGCAGTAAAAAAATAATACTAAAAAAAAAATAAAAAAAATGTTGCATTACCTAGTTCTTTTGACCAGCATTTTAATTTCTGAATCTTTTAAAGCAAATGTGCATAGATTATTTGTTTCTTTTTTTTTCTGAAGATACATATGAAAATTCACACTCTCCAGTAACATTAGGCTACAAAGCATATTTTGTTTAGTCATTTTCTACGATTTTGTTCCAAAAACCCCACAAAATTCTGGGTGGGGGGACGAGGGTGAGCATGCTGATGGATTTGGATCCCTTGAGCACTGGAGGTCCAGCACACTGACAAATCCTTTACACATTATGTACACTCCTGTTTTTCAAGCGTTTCCATAACAAGGACTCCAACAGCAAGTCCTGAAAGGAACCTCAGTCCTGTTTTGAATTGTCCTGCTATGCTTAGAGTCTGTGAAGAAAACCACCGGGCAATTCTTTATATTGATCTAGAAATACAGTGTCTGTACCTCACAAAGTCTCAAAACAGCTGTTATGTTTAAGCCTTTATATTTATTTATGAAAAAATATATATATATTTGAAATGAGAATTTATTCAAAACATAAAAGATTAAATATTGCTTGGAATATAAAAATGCCATATTTTGCCACGTTAGCCACAAAATATCTCTGGTGTTACCAGTTTTACCTTTGTTGGGCATGTTTTTTAAAGCATTCAGCAAGACGAGAAATATTTTCTCTCTGAATACCATTTACATCATGTGTGCCAGTAAAAGGCTGATTAAAAGCATACTCTAAATGCCTCATATTTAGCCTTGTCTGAAATACTGATAAGCCCAAAAGCCCTTAGAGCAAAGACCAAAAACAAAGAAGGGTTTACAACACAAATTTACAGAAGCAAAGTGTTGCAGACAGCCCTACTAAATGAATTTTCAGGGCATTTCCACCGGGTAGACCTCCAACAGAAGGAGCCATACACGTCTTAGCACGACACCATCTCCTCATGCTGCTAGATCACACAGTGTGTTGACATCAGTAGGGTCAGGGGCCCCAGCTGCAGTGGGATCACACGCTGCACCCCCTCACCAAAACCACAGCAGACCCTTTCCTTCCCACACTGCCACTCTGTTCACAGGCACGTAGTGGGACGAGTGACGCTGTGTGACCATGTCCCAATTACTTTTCTACTTTATCAGAAATCTCCAAAAGCCTCATGTATAAACAACATAGACTTCTCACAAAACACACACTGAAAGCTTGTTCCTATGCACATAAGGGATTTCTTTTTAAAATGTGAATGCACATATGTCACGAGTATTTATATTTATAAGAAGTGGTCTTTGTCTGCTTTAAGTAAAGTAACAAAAGTCAGTAGCACTTTACAATAAGGTTCCATTTGTTAACATGAACTAACAATGAAAAATACTTCTACAGCATTTATTAATCTTAGTTAATGCTGATTCTAATATTTACTAATACATTCTTAAAATCAAAGTTGTATCTATTAATGTTATTTAATGGACCTGAGCTAACATGGACTAACAATGAACAGATGTAGTTTTATTAACTAATGTTAACAATAAATACTGTAACAAATGTATTGTTCATTGTTAGACAGGCACGTAGTGGGACGAGTGACGCTGTGTGACCATGTCCCAATTACTTTTCTACTTTATCAGAAATCTCCAAAAGCCTCATGTATAAACAACATAGACTTCTCACAAAACACACACTGATAGCTTGTTCCTATGCACATAAGGGATTTCTTTTTAAAATGTGAATGCACATATGTCACGAGTATTTATATTTATAAGAAGTGGTCTTTGTCTGCTTTAAGTAAAGTAACAAAAGTCAGTAGCACTTTACAATAAGGTTCCATTTGTTAACATGAACTAACAATGAAAAATACTTCTACAGCATTTATTAATCTTAGTTAATGCTGATTCTAATATTTACTAATACATTCTTAAAATCAAAGTTGTATCTATTAATGTCATTTAATGGACCTGAGCTAGCATGGACTAACAATGAACAGCTGTAGTTTTATTAATGTTAACAATAAATACTGTAACAAATGTATTGTTCATTGTTAGTTAATGCATTACATATAGTTAACAAATGGAAGCTTGAAGTGTTGGCATCAAGTCTGCTTTTAAACAGCCATTTAAAATCTTGAATGGGTTATAACACACTTGTTTTTTACAAGGCATTATGCCTGCATTATAATGCATTAAGAATACCTTTAAGATGCATTATAAATGCAGGTGGTGTTATAATGCATCATGCTCTTAAAAGTTATAACCACACATAATGTATTGTAATGATTATTTATCAATGATGCAACATATCATAAGGTTGTTTATAAAGCATTATGCATGCATTATAATGCATTAAGAATACCATGAAAATGCATTACAAATGCAGGCTTCATAGAAAGTGGTACCAATCTGTTTCTACACCATTTTTTTCAGAGTAGACTGGGACTGTGCACAGTTTTTCAAGCTTTAATTTTTCGGAGCACTACATAATTCACCAGCTGCTTCAGAAAAGAACATTTATTACAAGCATGCAATCATTTTCTGCCTGTAAGACCTTCAGTGTGTAATTCAGTGCATATTCTGCATCTCACATGAAGCAGTTCATAAATAGTAGTTTGTGCAGTAAAATAAAAGGTTAGGTTCTAATATACCTGCAAAGCATTTTCACTACATGCCTTAGTTTTTGCTTTTTCTCTGCTCACAAACACCTCATTACCAGCCTGTGAAAGCTGTCATGTCCTGTCAGCTCAAAGAAAGTTAAAGCCCACAACACATGGTGCACAGTCTGCTCATCCATGACCCTGTCATTCAGAGTTCATTCAGTCACTGGTTATGTGTGATTCACAGCACACTTACCATATTGACAGTAAATGTGAGTGCCAGTGCCATGTGAGGCTGCTACTAAAAATCAGAGAATGAATGGACTGACCATTAACTAGAAAGAACAGTAATGTTTTATTACAAAAAGAGGATGAATTAGAGCCTAATGACGTTTAATTTTATGAGTCACTTCATCGTACAGTAAGCATCTTGATCGATGAAATTGCAATGTCATTGGACGTACATTACCCTATTACGCCTAGCCTCATAAATGTATGCAAATATACAGTAAGAGTTTGCTGCCGTGATGATGCAAATGCTCCCAAATGCTTTTTGGTGCTCCCAAACTACTGTACAGTCATGGCCAAAAGTTTTGGCAGTGACATAAATGTTGTGTTTTGCAAAGTTTGCTGCTTCAGTATTTGTAGATAATTTTTCCACATGTTTCATTGTAGATCATTTTCCCACATGGTATACTGAAAAACAATGATAAGCATATCATAAGTTTTAAAGGCTTTTATTGTCAAAAAATATAATGAGTCAGTATTTACAGTGTTGACCCCTGTTCTTCATAACCTCTGCAATTCGCTCTGGCATGATGGATATTAGCTTCTGAGCCAAATCCTGACTGATGGCGATCCATTCTTGCCTTATTAGTTCTCGGAGTTGATCACAATTTGTGGGCTTCTGCTTGTCCACTCGCCTTTTGAGGACTGACCACAGGTTCTCTATGGGATTGAGATACGGGGAGTTGCCTGGCCACGGATCCAAAATTTCAGTGTAATGATCTTCGAATCACTTCTTCATCACACTCGCTTTGTGACATGGTGCTTCATCATGCTGGAAAATGCATGGATCATCACCAAATTGCTCATGAATCGTTGGAAGAAGTCGCTCTTGCTCAATGTAATGCCAATCTTCAAGCCACTTCTTTATCACTCTTGCTTTGTGACATGGTGCTCCATCATGCTGGAAAATCGGATCATCACCAAATTGCTCATGGATCATTCATTCTTTATTCATGGCAGTGTTTTTGGACGGAATTATGAGAGAGCCCACTACCTTGGTTGAAAAGCAACCCCACACATGGATGGTCTCAGGATGCTTCACTGTTGGCACAACACAGGACTCATGGTAGCGTTCACCTTTTCTTCTCCGAACAATCGATTTTCCAGATGTCTCAAACAGTCGAAAGGGAGCTTCAGCAGAGAAAATAACTTAAG